CCGCTCCGCATCGTCTCGTCGCTCGAGGCGTCGGGCCGCGTGACGAGTCCGGCGGACAGCGCGACCCCCGCGTCGGCGGCGCCGTCGCCGTGCGAGCCCGTGGCGGCGGCGCCGTGGGACGGCTCGCGCGACAACTCCGCCGAGCCACACGCACACCGCTCCTCCTCCGCCGCCTCTGCCATCTCCGCCGCCTCCGCCGACTCCGCCTCTGCTACGCCCTCTCCACGCGCCGCCTCCGACACCTCAGACGTGGAGAACGCCGGCGGCGCCTCCGCCGACGCCTCCGCCGGTGATGCCGCCGCCTCCGCCGCCGCCGCCGCCGCTGACGCCGTCGCTGACGCCGCTGAAGCCGCTGCTGGCGCTGCTGGCGCTGCTGGCGCCGCCGACGACGCAGACGCAGATGCCGATGCCGATGCCTCGGACCCGCGCCCGCTGCCGGGGAGGCTCACGCCTTGCGGCTTCAGCTTGGGGGGGTCCCTCGGCGGCGCCGCGTCGGGCGAGGCGTGGGGGAGCGACGGCGACGGCACGCAGTTTGCGCTGCGCACCGGTCCCGACTACAAGAAGCACAAGAAGAAGGCTCCGTCGGCGGCGCACATCTACTCGCTCCTCTCGGCCGACGTGCTCAAGGGCGAGCGGATCACGCCGGGGGTGGGCGCGCGCGTGCGGCTGCCGCGCAGCGCGGACGCCGACGTGGAGAACGACACGGGGCTGCCGCGCACTCTCGTGGTCAGCTGCGCGATTCCGCAAAAGGTGCGCCGTTTGGACGCCTTCCCCAAGACGGCCCCCGACCTCCTGCCCCCCATCCTTCCCTGTAGCCCGCCCTGGACGCCTCGCCGACGCCTTGCCCGCACCCTCCCGCACACGCACGCACACTGCACGCACATCGCTGCTGCCTCGCCCGCCGCAGGCGCCCTCGCTCATGGGGGGCAGCAGCGGCGACGCGGGAGGCGAGTGCTACCAGCTCATCCTCTACTTCCGCGCCTCGGTGGAGAGCTTGCGCGCGTGGCGCGACAGCGGCAGCGCCGGCTATGCGCTCTTCAGGCGGTGGGTGGAGGAGGCGCCGAGCCGGGACATCAGGCCCGCAAAGCGTGCGTAGCAATCGTGTCACGCTCGTGGCCCTCCCGCCAGGCGCCGGGCGGCGACCTGCCGCTCAAGGAGCGGCTCAAGCTGATCGTCAAGATGGACAACTTGCGCGATCTCGGCAAGCTCGGCGCCTCGGTCGAGCAGGCGAGGCCCCTCCGGGACACTTTCGAGACGTGCACAAATCGTTTATCCGATAGCCAACGCGCGCCGATGTCGCACAGCGTTCATCCGATAGCCAACGCGACGCTGCCGTCCGTTCGCTCCGATCCTTCCTCGCCCCAGCCTTTGCCCTCGCCCCCCCCCCCCCCCCTGATTCCCCTCCAGGACAAAGGCAAGCCCGTCCTCTTGACGAAATCGGGCTCGCTGACGCCGTCGGCCGCGCCGCTCTGCGGCCCGGACGGCTACCTCGAGGTCGGGATCAACACCTTCCGCTTCGCGTACCTCACCAAGAAGGTGCTCACGGCCGCCCCCTCACGCTGGCATCACCCCCCCCCCCTCCCTCCCGCCCACACACGCCACCATTCTCCTACGTCTGTCCATGGCCGCGCCAACCCATCCTTTACTTCGACCGCCTTCCTTTCTTGCAAGGGCATGCACATGTACCTGCCCTCGCTGCACAAGCTGCACATGCACGTCGCGCTCACCATCGAGGGGCGCGACAACGCCGAGCTGCCCGAGCAGGCGCTGCTTGCGTGCCGGCTGAACGGCGCCGTCACTGCCGGGGCGGCGTTCCCGCGCACTGAGCGGGTGGTGCTCACACCTTGCGCGCTGTGGATAGGCCTCGACTTTGCCAAGATGGCCTCGCCGCTGCCTCCGCTTTGACGACTCGCATGCGCTCGCCAACTTGTGCCCGACTCGCATGTCCTCTGTTTGTTGTTTTCTAGTGTTGTGGGAGGCTCGGATCTTGCGTGAGTGTCCTTTGCGGTGTGGGGCGGGTATAAGGTAAGGTACGGGGTCCGGAGCGCGGAGGGTGAGTTGGTGTGACAGGGGGTTGTGCGCCGGGCCCTCTCCTGCTCGGCTCCAGCCGCGGTAGACAAGTCTTGTCATCAACAGAGTACTGCTACTGGGCACTGGGGGCTCTGGGGCTGGGGGGTTTTATAGGCATTGCGGGACGCCAACCGTTGGCAGTGCCACCCAGGTCCCAGGTCCCAGGAGTGGGTCGGGCGGACACTCTTCTCACTTCTGCAGCGTGCGCCTCTCGATCCTGTACCGTGTTTGTTATGACCCCCCCCCAATGAACACACCA